ATGAAAATAATCTGAAATTAGTAGTGGTGACGGTTTTACAACTTTGTGAGTATCCTGAAAACCACTAAATTGTGCAATTTAAAAGCATGGATTTTTATGCTATGTGAATTACATATCAATTATTTAAATGGACAAGAAAAAAAGACTTAAGAGTCTTACCAACCAATCATACTCAACTTATTTGGATCCCAATTTAAACAAACTATAAAAAAAGAAAAAATAGGGTTTCCCTGGTGGCACAGTGGTTGAGAGTCTGCCTGCCGATGCAGGGGACACGGGTTCGTGTCCCGGTCCGGGAAGATCCCACATGCCACGGAGCGGCTGGGCCCGTGAACCATGGCCGCTGAGCCTGCGCGTCCGGAGCCTGTGCTCCGCAATGGGAGAGGCCACAACAGTGAGAGGCCCGCGTACCACAAAAAAAAAAAAAAAGAAAGAAAAAATATTCTAAAAGAAAAAATGTGAAAACTAACTAGATATTCAAGGACAGTAATGTTTACACAGAATCCTAAATGATCAATGGATGCTAAAACAAATGCATTAATGTTTGACCAAAAACAAGATGTTTGCATAGTTGCCAGGTACCTCCCCCAAAATAACTTACTGGATACAAAGGAACACCACCTTTACCAAGTCATCAAACCTAACATCACCATTATTAAGACAAACCCAATTACATGGGTTTGTCCTAACGGATTTTGAAGGACACACCATCACCTCTATGGCAGCCCTACAAAAAATACATAACCTGAATCTAATTATGAGGAAACATTACACAAACACAAACTGAGCCACATTCAACAAAATAAATGGCCTGTTTTCTTCAAAAACGTTAAGGTCAAAAAACACAAAGGGGGGCTTCCCTGGTAGCACAGTGGTTGAGAGTCCACCTGCCAATGCAGGGGATGTGGGTTCGTGCCCCAGTCCGGGAAGATCCCACATGCCGGAGCGGCTGGGCCCGTGAGCCATGGCCGCTGGGCCTGTGCATCCAGAGCCTGTGCTCCACAGCGGGAGAGGCCACAGCAGAGGCCGAGGGGGTGAAAAAGAAAAACAAAAAAAAACCACAAAGGGACTTTCCTGGCAGTCCAGTGGTTAAGACTCCACTCTTCCACTGCAGGGGGCACGGGTTTGATCCCTGGTCGGGGAACTAATCCCACATGCCGCATGGCGTGACCAAAAAAAAAAAAACAAACACAAAGACTGAGCTGGTTCCATATCAAGGATACATGACAATAAAATACAATGTGTGGGGACTTTCCTTGTGGCGCAGTGGTTAAGAATCCACCTGCCAATACAGGGGACATGGGTTCGAGCCCTGGACCGGGAAGATCCCACGTGCCATGAGCAGCTAAGCCCATGCACCACAACTACTGAGCCCGAGCTCTAGAGCTCGCGAGCCACAACTACTGAGCCCGCGTGCTGCGACTACTAAAACCTGCATGCCTAGAGCCCATGCTCCGTGACAAAAGAAGCCACCACGACGAGAAGCCCGCGCACTGCAACAAAGAGGAGCCTCTGCTGGCCACAAATAGAGAACGCCCACGTGCAGCAATGAAGACCCAACGCAGCCAAAAATAAATTAATTAATTAATTAAAGTAAAATACAACGTGTGATTCTGGATTTTATCCTAGACTAAGGAAAAAATACATAGCTATGCAGAACACTGCTGAGACACAAAATTTGAATAAGGATTGCGAATGAGACAATAGCTTTGTGTAAATATTAGGGTTCCTGAGATGTTTACTACACTGTGGTTATGTAAGAGAATTTTCGTACATTTAGGAAAAACACTCTAAAGTCTCCAAGTTACTCTCCAATGGTTCAGGAAAAATATATATATAATAAAGAATATATATATTATATATATAAAAAATGACAAAATGTTAATTGTTGAATCTGGGTAAAGGGCATACCGGAGTTCCTTGTATATTCTTGGCATTTCCTGTAAGTTTGAATGAGGCCATATCTTTCAGAAATACATTCTGAAATATTTACAAATGAAAAAGTAAGATTTCTCTGATGAGCTTCAAAATAATGGGACAAGTAGGGGTCTAGATGAAATAATTGGTCATGTAGTAATAACTGTTGAAGTAGAATAATGGAAACATCAGGTGTATTATACTATTCTCTGTACTTTTCTGTTTGAAATTTTCTGCAATAAAAAGTTTTAAAGAAGTCCACAATGAGGGACATCCCTGGTGGCACAGTGGTTGAGAATCCGCCTGCCAATGCAGGGGACACGGGTTCGAGCCCTGGTCCGAAATACCCCACATGCCGCGGAGCAACTAAGCCCATGCGCCACAACTACTGAGCCTGCGCTCTAGAGCCCAAGAGACACAAATACTGAGCCCGTGAGCCACAACTACTGAGGCTGTGTGCCACAACTACTGAAGCCCACACACATAGAGCCCATGCTTCTCAACAAGAGAAGCCACCTCAATGAGAAGCCCACGGTCCGCAACGAAGAGTAGCCCCCGCTCACTGCAACTAGAGAAAGCCCACACACAGCAACGAAGACTCAACGCAGCCAAAAATAAAAAGATAAAATTAATTTATTAAAAAAAAAAAAGAGGCACCCATATCCAGGACTCTAGTTTTGAAATGTTTCTAATATATGACACTCCATTAATCCCCCTTAAAACCTCTTTATAAAGCATGAACCATTCAGGCAATTTTATTTGCCTCATGTGAAGTTTTAGTCAACACAAAAACAGAAATACAGTTGATACCTCTAACTCTACTGTATATGGACATATAGTTACCCTTGAGAGTAAAATCAATAAATAATGGAAGAAAACAGGTAAATGCAGATAGAAGTAATCCACCCAAAGAGGTGATCTACAAATCACAGAGAGAGAAAAACCAACTGACATTTGTTAAGCACCCATTATAAGCCATTCCTTAGGTCATTTAAGCTTCACATCAATGCTGGCATAATTTTTCCCTTAATTTTGTTTTTAATTTTTTTCCTTAAAGTATACAATTTTAGATTTTTTTTTAAAAAAAAATTTTTGGCCACGCTTCGTGGCCTGTGGGTTCTTAGTTCCCTGACCAGGGATCGAACCTGTGTCCTTGGTAGTGAACGCACAGAGTCCTAACCACTGGACCACCAGGGAATTCCCACCCTTAATTTTTTTTAACTGTGGTAAAATACATATGATTCAAAATGGGGACTTCCCTGGTGGTCCAGGGGTAAGACTCCACGCTCCCAATGCAGGGAGCCCGGGTTTGATCCCTGGTCGGGAAACTAGATCCTGCATGCATGCTGCAACTAAGAAGCCCGCATGCTGCAACTAAGAAGTCCACACATCCTGCATGTCGCAACTAAAAAAGATACCGCATGCCGCAACGAAGATCCCACGTGCCACAACTAAGACCCAGTGCAGCCAATATGAATAAATGAATAAATAATAAATATTTACTTTAAAAAAGAGGTGATTTTTTTCAACCTCATTTTACAAATGAGGAAAATGCAGATGAGTGAGAAGTTAAGACATTTTCCTAAGGCAAGCAACAAGTCACCAACCAGAATCTGAACCCAGGTCTTTCTTTAAACTGCATGACTGCCATTATATAATTTCATTGGTTCTTAAGTTTCTTAAAATTTCATTTCTCTGAGTCAATACTAAGAGCCTCATCAATTCTAAAAAGCCTGATTTTCTACATTTACAAGCCTAAAACAGACAGCACCAAAAAAGGCAGCCATGCTGAGACCCTCCATGAACAGTCAACAGATGCCCAACCATCTTTACACCTCACTACCTTTGCAACAACTTTAGAAGCTACGTTAGAAGCTAAATTAAATCCAAAAGTACATGAATATAAATGAGACATTTTATCTTTAAGTTTATGTTGTCAATGGTGAATAAAATCCAAATAATTTTGCACAGATACTTTAATAACACACTGAATTTCTAGATTTCAGGTATAGCTAAAATAACTGATTAGTATGTCATTTTAAAAAGCAATACTTTGGTCTCATACATGAGGAGCAAATATGATTACCCTGAATCTGTGAATATATAATTTGTAAATACTACAGAATAACCCATATCATAATTAACACTTTCTCTACAAACATGGAAAGAAACTGAAAAACTCTATGAACTACAGCAGAAAATGTAGTAGGAATTTAACTTATGAGACAGACATCCAGTAGGGAAATCATTCTCAGGCAGACACAGAACAAACCTGTGCGCCAACAGCCTCCCTTCCCCCATTACCAAAACATTTCAAAAGCTTCAGGAACCCCAAGACCAGAGTTTGAGACACTATGGTATTAAACTGAAAAATACATTTACATATGGTCCTAGTCTCATTACATATTTTGTAGGACAAAAATGGCTTTCAAAATAAAGTACTTATACTTCTTTCTTAAAATTTAGATCACTTTTTTATTGATTGTTTAAAAAAAAATCAAAGGGGCTAAAATATGTCAAAGCTGTTGACTGCGGAGGGAGCACACAATGAAGATTAAACTACAAAGAAATGCTCAGAGTTGCTATCTGCAGGAATTTTTTCCCATATCTATCACATTGCACTTCTTTCTTTAGCAAACTTTTTTTTCCACACATACCTAATACTATAAATATATAATAAATACTCAGAATTTTAAAAACTGTAAATACAACCCAGTTGTTTTAGAGAGGAGGGAAAAAGAAGTCCTCCAAAATACCAGTGAAGTATAAATTTCCTCATATTCAAACCTTCAAACCGCCATGGAAAATTGGAGATGGCAAAACACTGCTCCAATTGTCCACTAAAGCCTATGTGCAAAGACTTCTATTTCAACATTTCGACTAACTAATAAACATATGTTGCATCCTAAAAAATATACACTAAAACCAAGAACCACCCAAAAACCTACTCCCATCTAAACTAAGAGGAAGACAAATGGGAAACCAAAAAGCTACAGGTAACATAAAGTACTTTTCCTCATATCATGGAAAACAAAAGACTCAAAACACATTTTAATTTTCCAAGAAAAAGACAATTAACTTACTAGCATGCTTGTCTGCAAGCATTATAAGCGTGTTGGAAATATCTCGTCGTCTATAAAAGCACACTACTTTTGCTTCCACGTTGCCAGTTGCAGTCTAAGAAATAAGAAAAATAAAAGTCATCTATACTGAATATTAGATTCAAGTAGTTTATAAAACAAAACTAGAGACAGCATAATTGTAAGATCACTGTCATTTACTGTGCCAACCACAACTGCAGGATAATCAGAGAGCTTAAAAATTCAAATCAGGACGAGTAACATTTGTAAAAGTTCCAAGTGAAACAAATGTCAAACATAAAATAACTCATTGGCATCAATTAAAAATTAAACTAAAGTGATCAGAGAGCTTTAATGACTAAAACCATACTTAACTCTGATTAACCTTAAGAAACTAATCCCCAAAATTTAAAAAGCCACAACATAACTTAAAAGACAGTTAAACATAGTCCTCCAAACCCTCTTCCTGAGGCACAGGCTAAGTGCAAAATCACCCAGCCCCATCCTAAACACCCTCACGTTCGACTGATGGTGAAGCTCTGCAGGTGCAGGGCAGTCAACATGTGAGGTGGACCAGATAACTTGGAAATGCATTCTCAGCCCAAGGGAGTCCATGAATCCGTAACGGTCAACATTCTTAGTAGTACTTACTTTACCTTCACATATGAAAGTATTAAAAACCTTGAGTTATGAACACTGAAGCTCTTATTTCTTTTTGACTACAGTCTAGAATACAATCAATATTCAGTTAGGCTGTAATTTACTGCAGCTGGGGCCCAGGCTCCTACCCTCCTATTCTTTATGAATTCTGAGAGATTTCAAGGTCAATTGTTCACTACAGAGTTCATTGTAAAAACACACAGATTACAATAAAATGCTATTGTCATTTCCAATTTCAAACAAATTTGAGAACATATTTTCAAAATTCCTCTGGGCTTACAGATACACTCAGAGAAAAAGAAATAAGTATATGTGCTGCAGTAAAGTTGTCAGTTTTATGAAGTTCAACGGCAGTATTTTAAAGTGAGAAATAGTCTTGTAGAAATATTGCCCCTTAAAACTGAAATCATATTACATCCTAACCAAAGTGCTTCTATATTTCACAATATTGTGATCAAATACATCCTCCAGAAGTAATGATCCAGCAATCTGCTAAATGAACAGTCCAATATTCATATGTAAATAAAATCTATCAATGACTTCAATTATCAGTGCTTTATCATTTTTGTCTTCTTGAGACAAAAGCATGTTAATGGACGACTAATAAGAAAATAAATAAATAAACATTTTAAAAAAATAAATAAAAGCATGTTAAAAACCCAAAGCAAGAGTTTTAAGGCATACGTGTTTTTTTTCTACCTTACTGGTGAGTTCCTCCAATAGGGATACTCTGTAAAGCTAATTAAATTCTTATTTGAACCTGCTTGGGGTGGAGGGGCATAGTTCAAAATAAATATTCTCTTCTGAACCACGCACACACTTGGCTATTAGGCAGTGTACAGTATTCCTCTTCTTCTCTACTGTACACACACACACACCCTCCCTTCGAACATTCCTCTAAAGTTGAGCTACTAAAATTGTGGTCCAAGGCCCAGTCCACAGCTGTTACTATGTAATGAAATGAGTACAGAAATTAAATGAATTACAGTATTTGAGAGTTAATTTTATATCTATTGAATCTAATAATGAAAAATGGGGCTTGCATTTTTATAAGCCTACTTTAAATTTCATTTTTCTACTCATTTATAAATTTTACAAAAGCAGTCTAAGATACTGAAAATTCTTAAAAATCCTCCACCACAAATAATTTAAGAAGTATAGCTCTGAAGACCTAAGTTAAATATTTTGTATATATAAAGTCACCAAATTTCTTGTGTGCGCTTCCTATGTGCCCCTGCACAAGCTAAGCACCACGGATGCATGGTGTCTGCCCTCACCGAGCCTCTGCTCCAGCAAAGATGCCTGTCCACATGTCATCTCGTCTCCAACCTTCCAAAGCCCAGCTGTAATCATGTCCCTCACCCAGAAACCTTCACCGGTTCCCCACAACTGAAGCATAAGAGTAAAACATTCCTGAAAAATTCCCAGCACTATTGTCTTTACTCCTTTCTTTTCCCCTCCAGACTTCACTTCTCACTCATGGAGGCAGGAAGTACCACCTGTTGAGGGAAGAACAGAAAAAGCTTCAAGGAGGAGGAAAGGGGGCAGAAGGTCCCTAACTAGCTAGGAAAGAAGGAAAGGAGTCCAACAGGTGAAGCCTGGAGGGCTGAGTAGTCTTAAGAAAAAAGAAGGACCTGAACAAAACCCACAGGTGGGAAAAGTGGAGACAGGTATAAAGAAGAACCTACAACGAACAGCAATTTCTTTCCTGTGTTCTTTTCTCCATTTAGGTTGCAGCCTCTTAAATCTCTATTCTGTCAAACACGTTTAGTAAAACATCCTTCAGCAATAAGGGGCTTTTAGTCAACCTCATACTCACGCCCATTTCTATCCCAGACTTAGAAAGTACATTATTAAAAAACAAAAAACCAAACGCTTTCCATTTTGGAAAGTCTGTGGTCTGCTCGAACTAAAGAACAGATGGAAAAGAACTTCCTTTTCCCAATTTCTGTCCTTCTTCCCAACAGATCCTAAACGTCAGGAGGGGTCTTAACTTGGGTTCTATAAAAGGGCTTTGAAGGGATCTCCTGAAATTATATGCAAAATCTTGTATGTGCAAATATAGATTGGGGTGGGGGACAAGACTAGATGCTCAAAGAAGTTAGTGGCTCCCTTCTCCCAACCAAAAAAAGACCCAAAACATTAAAATGAATCTCAGAGCAAATTGGATGGCTAATAAAACATACAGAATATGAAGAAACATATAAATTATACAACATAACACACCAAAAAAACAATCAATAGCAAATAACATTCAATTTATCCATAAGCATAACTCCCAAAACTTCCTGAGACTGTATCCTCATTATTATGTGCACAAAGCCTTCTTCCAACATGTGTGCAGACTAAATCTTTAGAAGAGCAACACCCAAGCTAGATAGTGACTAAATAAAATTTACCGTGAAGTTGTTTTCTATTTTAACTTTATATTCTTCCTCCAAAAGATCATCATCACTGTATCTGAGTACAGTTTAGAGGAGAGGAAAAGAGGGTGTGTAAGATAAACAATGTCGGTGAGAAGCGGCTGCAGCTCCGGGCACAGGGGGCAGGAACCCGAAGGCGAGCAGGGGCCGGGTAGGCACCACGGCCGGGGTCACCACCACGGAGGCGGTGAAGCGCTGAGACCCAGGTTCCGCAGCTGCAGGCCAGTGACGCGGAGGAGAGGGCCGAGCACCTCCCGCGGAAATGGAGGGAGAAAGGCGGCCCGGGAACAGGCTCAAGCTGACACAGCCTCCTTGAACCGCAGGATCCAGCTGATTGAAAAGCAGCTGGACAGTGCCCAAGAGCACCTGGCCACTGCCCTGCAAAAGCCAGAGGAAGCTGAGAGAGCTGCTGATGACAGCGAGAGAGGTCTGAAGGTTACTGAAAACCAATCCTTAAAAGAGGAAGAAAAAATGGAGCTCCAGGAAATCCAACTCGAAGAAGCTAAGCACACTGCAGAAGAGGCAGGTGGGAAGTACGAAGAGGTGGCTCTTAGGTTGGTGATTATTGAGGGAGACTTGGAAGGCAGAGGAGCGAGCTGAGCTGGCAGAGTCCCGCTGCCGAGAGATGGATGAGCAGGTCAGACTGATGGACCAGAAGCTGAAGTGTCTGAGTGCTGCTGAAGAAAAGTACTCTCAAAAAGAAGACAGGTATGAGGAAGAGAGAAAGATTCTTACTGATAAACTCAAGGAGGCAGAGACCCGTGCTGAGTTTGCTGAGAGATGGGCAGCCAAGCTGGAAAAGACAACTGATGATTTGGAAGATGAACTGAAATGCACCAAAGAGGAGCACCTCTGTACACAAAGGATGCTGGACCAGACTCTGCTTGACCTGGATGAGATGCAGAGCGCCCCAGTCCCGCCCTGCGCTGCCCCTCCCTCTGACCCCGACTCCGCTGAGGCCAGAAGCTGACCTTTAAGCTGACGGCTGACCTTTAACTGGAAGGCTGCTTTCTCCTTTCGCCATGTCTCCCACCCCCACCCCTGTGTCCTTTTCGCCAAACTGTCTCTGCCTCTCTCCAGAGATTCCATTTGGGCTAGAGGCTGAGCATCTTTGGGAACAACGTTTAAGGGAATGTGAGCACAATGTTAAGTGTCTTTAAAAGCATGCTGTGATGTACACATTTTGTAATTACCTTTTTTGTTGCTGTAGCAGCCATTTGTAAAACATTCCAGATAATTCCATAGTTCTGAAGCAGCAGTCTAATCCCTTTCTCACTTTTGGAAGGTAACTTTTCAGCTTAATGCATACTGCCCTCTTTGTAGAGGAGGGGAAAAGGTATGGGCCTGCCTTCCTGAGAGCTAAACAGCCCAGAGAAGGACTCCATTTTGGGAAGCCTTATTGCTCTGTAAAAAGTACCTGCCAAACCAGAAAGGTGATTCCAGAAGGAGTTAGCCAAAAAAAAAAAAAAAGCGCTGTTCAGGTTTTCAGCTTTACGGTATCTTTGGGCAACTTTTTTTTTTCCATCAGAAGTGACCAGATGAGATTAAGATGGTGAGGCCTCTGAGACCAAATCCTTGTCCCAGCTCTACCCCATTCCCAATCACTCACAGAATGGATCATGTGCCCCTTATTTTGAGGTGACCACTTATTTGCTCTCCCGCCTCCTTGAAAGAAAGGAAAGAAAATTATGTTCTACCACTGATTTAGCCATATGAAACTCATCTCATCACCCTTTTCTGGGTCTGAAGCTGCTGTCTCTAAAACTGCCATCTCATTGTGTGTTGTAGCAGTTAGTCCTGGAGAAATCTTGAATAGCTTATACACAAAATTGTTTTTAAATTTTATATTATTTTGAAACTTCGCTTCTTTGGGGCTGGGGCACACTGGTCACCCCACCTGGCTGTGACAGCCCTCTACAGTCTAGGCTGGCAGTGTGCTGATCTTTCAAAGTTTCTTTCCCTACCCAATCTCCCCTTTTTGGTGAGGGTTCAGTGAGGTCAGTTAGGTGTGCATCCTACAGCTTAATTGGCTTAAAATGTACTCCCCTTTGGTGTGGTCTCCTTGGGGGCCAATTGGGGAAAGAAAAAACAATAGTGTAACTGTTTTGATACTGAACATTGATAAATGTCTTTTTGAAATAAAGAACCAGTCCCTCAAAAAAAAAAAAAAAAAAAAGAGATAAAACAATGTCGAACTGTGTTTATCAACCAATATATTCAGTTTTGCACCTAAAAGTCTGGGGAAGAAAAATTGAGACAAAAGTCTATTTCAGGACTTCCCTAGTGGTCCAATGGTTAAGAATCTGCCTTCCAATGCAGGGGATGTGGGTTCGATCCCCAGTCAGGGAACTAAGATCCCACATGCCACAGGGCAACTAACCCTGCACACTCTAGAGCCTGCGTGCCGCATTACTAAGCCTGTGCAGCACAACTAGAGAGCCCGCTCACTGCAACTACTGAACCCATGCGCACCAGAGCCCACTCGCTGCACTAAAAGATCCCACATGCTGTGGAGCAGCTAAGCCCATGTGCCACAACTACTGAGCCTACGCTCTAGAACCGGCGAGCCGCAACTACTGAGCCCATGTGCCCCAACTACTGAAGCCCGCGTGCCTAGAGCCCATGCTCCACACAGGAGAGGCCACCGCAATGAGAAGCCCACGCACCGCAGCAAAGGGTAGCCCCTCGTTCACCACTAGAGTAAGCCTGCGTGCAGCAGCAAAGACCCAATGCAGCCAAAAATAAATTAATTAATTTTAAAAAATAATAATATATCAAGTGTTCTTAAATTCATTATTCGGATTTTCTAATCATGTTAAATTTCCCGGGCTTCCCTGGTGGCGCAGTGGTTGAGAGTCCGCCTGCCGATGCAGGGGACACGGGTTTGTGCCCCGGTCCGGAAAGATCCCACAGGCCGCGGAGCGGCTGGGCCTGTGAGCCATGGCCGCTGGGCCTGCGCGTCCGGAGCCTGTGCTCCGCAACGGGAGAGGCCACAACAGTGAGAGGCCCGCGTACCACAAAAAAAAAAAAAAAAATTTCCCCACTTAGCCAACTTGACCTCTGACCCGCTCAAGGCCTTTCTGGAACTCCTGTGGCCCCTCTTCCTGAGGCTACCTCCTTCTCATCCTTTAGGCCTCAACTTCAATGTCCTTAAAGTCCTTCACTCCCTATCCAAAGGAAGCAACCTCTGTTATTCTCTATGTCAAGGGTCAAGGCTCTTGCTTATTTCCTTTCTAGAAGTTAACACCATTTATCGCTATTTTCTTTACACCTGTTAACTCATCTTTTCATGTGTCTCCCTCATGAGAACGGAGACCCTGTGTGGGCAGAGACCATGTCCATATTGGTCACTGTTGTAGCTGAGCCTAGCATAGTGCCTGCTACATAACAAGTGCTCGAGAAATATTTAATTACTTACTTAAAATGAGATCTCTCACATCCCTTCAGAAATAAAGGTCCTGTGTAAATATTTAGTAATTAATTAGCCTATTGCAGTTCCTTTTTATCAATACTCCATCCAGACTGCCACTCTGAAATTACAGAGACTCTGATCTCTCACAGTTCAGTCACCCTCAGTCCCCTAAGGACTGCTCGTATATTAACCACTCTTTGAGAAAGCAGAGGCGCAGGGAGAAGGTGAGAATGTGGGGGAGGGGAGGGACCTTTGAAGTGAAGAGTAATATAATGATAAAGAAGTGTGAAATGATCCAGGTTCCAGCTAGATGTGTAACCCAGGCATTTAAGTTACTTAACCACAGTGTGCTTCACAACAATCCATGATCCATCTACCTTAAAGGTTTAAGGTACTGGGAGGCTCAAAAGAGGTGACAAACGTGAATCTCCAGATTATATGCTTCCAGAGCACCATGCTCTGATGTTTGTAAATTTAGCACAGATGCAATTTTCCTTCTGCCTGTGGAATTATTTAGCTGATGTCCATCTCCACTACTAGACCTATCTTGTTCATCTTTCAGTTCCTAAAAGTGCGTATCTAAAAGCAGTAGGTCCCCAGAAATATTTGTAAAATGAATGAATCAAAGTACTTTGTAAACAGTAAAGCCATGTACAAGTATTAACATCAGACATCTGAGAAATTCATTAATTCAAAAAATGTTTACTTAACTATGTGCCAGCCACTACTCTAAGGCACTTCGGATGCATTAGTGAACAGAAAAGATCACTACACACATAGAGCTTACATTCTAGTTTGGGAAAACAGGCAATGAAAATATAGGCACAACTCATTTTATTGCGCTTCGGTTCACTGCACTTCTCAGATATTGTGTTTTTTTTTACAAATCAATGGTTTATGGCAACACTCGGTGGAGCAAGTCTACGCCATTTTTCCAATAGCATTTGCTTACTTCGTGTCTGTCACATTTTGGTAAATCTTGCGGTATTTCAAACTTTTTCATTATTATGATATTTGTTATGGCAACCTATGATCAGTGATCTTTAATATTATTTTATGAAGGCTCACTGAAGGCTCAGATGATAGCTAGCAATTTTTAGCAGTGAAGTATTTTTAAATTAGGCATGTACATCTTTTTTTAGACATAATGTACACTTAATAGACTACAGTATGGTATAAACACAACTTTTATATGCACTGGGAAACTAAAAAATTCATGTGACTCGTTTTACTGCAATAGCTGCTTCATTGCAGTGGTCTGAACTGAACCCACAATATCTGAGGTATGCCTGTAAACACATTCATTAAGTATATCTGAAGGTGATAAATGATGTGGGGGAAAACAGCAAGGTATGGGGGGCTGGGAACAACCAGACAGTCCTAAGGTGGGTGCATATGAGAAACAGCCAAGAGGGTCCAGTGGTTAGGACTTGGTGCTTCACTGCCGTGGCCCTGGGTTCAATCCCTGGTCAGGGAACTAAGATCCTGCAAGACAGGTGGCGCAGCCAAAAAAAAAAGTGAGAGAGAGAAACAGGCAAGAAAGAGCTTACTGCACTTAGAGCCGAATGAACAAAGCAGGGAGCAGCCAGAGAATACAGGTCTCATAGGGCAATATTTCTCCTCGAATCCTAGTTAAGTTTCCAAGTAAGCTGATGCAGTGAACAGTGTGGAATGCCTAAATTCTTTTTTTAAGCCTTTTATTTATTTATTTATTTATTTGGCCATGCCGAGCGTGGCTTGCAGGATCTTACTTCCCCAACTAGGGATGGAACCTGGGCCCCAGCAGTGAAAGCACCGAGTCCTAACCACTGGACCACCAGGGAATTCCCTGGAATTGCCTAAATTCTTATACCTTACATCAATAATATAAAAGAGAAGCACACCAGGAAGACATCTCAACAGACTGACCTAATCCTGAGGCCATTTTCTTCATTTGGTGGTGGTCTCAAATACTATGGAAATTTTTTAAATGCAAGGTCCCCAGGGTATCCCCAAAAGTGAACCAAGACCTCAACGCTCATAAGCCAGGCATGCCCTTGGCCAATCTGGTTTCCTGGGACTCAAAACGGGACCAGAGTCTCCAGATGGTATTTTGGAGGAAAGGTATTAGCTAGACAGCCCCCAAAATTTTAACAATGTGAATTCTCACCAGCTACACAATTAACCCTCAACCATCAGAAATCTATGGTCCATGTCATTTATGATTGTTTGAGTGCCTCCACTGTAAAAGCTCAGCTACTGCCAACACTCATAATGCTTCTGATGTCCTGGACACCTGCGATTAGGGACAAACCTTGATGTAAAAGTTTTATTTACTTGGGCCTAAGGTACAAAAAGTCACTTTATAATTATGCCAAAACTGTATTCTTATTAGTTAGCCTAGTCTAGAATTTTACAAATTCCCTTAAATATCATATTCCCTAACTTCCTGCTTCTCAAGCTGAAAGAGGAAAAAATTAATTTAAAATTAATTTTTAAAAATTAAATTAAAATTTTAATTTAATTAAAAAATAACTAAAAAGGGAGAAACACAAATTATGACTTCAAATATAAACAGGGACTGAGTTACAGGAGTGACCTGCTCTGAGAAACTCAAAGCAATTTGAAGAAATCTTACAGATGTTACATATTCAATATCAACATTTAGTATCAGAGGTAATTATAAAAAGCAAAAGAATATTCAGAATCCTGCATAATTCTCTAATCTGAAATCTCTACTTTCAAAGAGTCTGGAACTTTAAGTAAAATCACCTCTTATGCCCTTTACCCAATTACCCATCAATGGGCAACAAATATTTCTTAATATTAGAATCAAGAACACTCAGTGTATACCTTGTTGAGTTCTTCTATCCTTCTGATGAGGTACGGATTGCTAGAGGAATTCTCAAAGTAGACATAATCTGTAATTAAAGGAAGTAAAGAGCTTAATCTTTTCAACATAAAGTTCACATTTGTCAATTTATGACTTTTTTTATATTAGGTAATTCACATTCAAAATGAAGCATGCCCGTGATTCATTTCCTGGTAAAAGCAAACTGAGTAATGCAGCCTCAATATATTCTCTTTCTTATGTGCTTACCATTCACAGACCCTTATTTTCCTGGCATTTTCATTTCAATTAATGTTTTATTCAAGTTCTCCTAGACTTCTGTCCCACATGTGTCATTTCTTTAATAATAAACAAAAAGACACCTCTTATCATTGAGTAGTCAGAGCTGACTAAACATGTGTCTTTCATACGATAACTGCTTCCACATCTTTTCACTCCAATCCAATTTGCCCTGGAGTAGACTTCTCACATAAAACTATTGACCTAAGACAAATTCAGAGCATCTTGAAAGGCTTAGCAGCCCAAAGTACATTTCAATCACCAACTTAAAAAAAAATCAGGTGAGCAGAGCAGAAGCACATTGACAAACTTTTTCACAGCTCTATCTAGGAAGATGAGGGGGCGAAAAAGGAGAGGGGTCACTTTTTGAGAGGCAGAGCTCTGTGGAGGTGATAACCAGCCTTTTTAATACCATATTTAATCCAGATCCATTTTGGGTCTCGTTATAAAGCAATTGCTGCAGCCTTTCAACAAAAAGGATATAAATTTTCAAGTGTGGTTTTTCCTCTCATCTAATAGGCTCACTGGAAACTTCCCACTGTGTGTTTATTTGAGAGGCTGGGCTGCAGTGTTATTGTCTATCTTAGTGGCTCTTTCCCGTCTCCCTTCTGCAAAGTGGCCTCATTTAGCCAGGCCATTCCCACCACCATCCATCAAAGGAGCTCGGCTAATGAGCAGAGAAGAGCCAGTCTTACACACAAACACGTCACTTATCTGAATTATTATTTTACCAGGAAAAGAGGGAGGAGGGCGTCTTGAGTAGGGAGAAAGTTTGTTTGACCTTATTTCTCTCTTCTGCAGAAGGCTGGGAAGGAGGCAGACAGCAGAGCAAACGTCCAGGCAGAGCTCCACTCCCCACCCCAGGCTGCGATGCCCCGGCCCCTCTAAGCCCCATTCCTGGGGGGCGCTGGACAAGAAACGTAAGGGAGAGGGACGAAGGAGAGGTGCAGGGCCCTGTCCCCGCAAACAGGCCTATCCAGCTGTGCCCCTGGCTAGACCCCCATCGCCCCCACCCACACCCCCAATGAAGGGGAGCAGTAGAGGAGAGATGTCCCTCCACTCTCTCCAAACCCCCAACGCCTAGAAGCCACGCGAGGAAAGACCACCCTCGTAGGGGGCTCGACGGCCCCTGACCCCCATGGGGGTTTCACGGGTTGAGGTGGGGTGGCGTCTGATAATTCATACCCCCAAGTACAGGCCTGGTCTAAAACCCTGGTTGGGATGTGGGGGTGTGGATGGGCCCCGGCCCCTTGTGGGCCACGGTGGGGGAGGGGGGGCAGCCCCGGCCCCCTCCGCAGGCCCCCAGCCCCATGCGCCCTCAGCCCGGGCGCCCGTGGCTCCCAGCGGTTAGGGTGAACTCGCCCCTACCCCCCACTCCCGGAGCCCGCTCCCAGACGGGCCGGGTCGGGCCGAGCCTTCCTACCTCCGACCCGGTACATGTTCGCCGCCATGTCCGCCCGCCCGCCCGCGGAGCCCGAGCCGAGCCCCGCCCGCTGCCGCCGCCACTGCCGCCGCCACTGCCGCCGCCGCCGCCTCAGCCCCGGCCGCCGCCGCCGCCGCCGCCGCCGCCGCGGCGCGTAGCGGCGGGGGGGAGGGGGGTGAGGGAAGGGGAGGGGGAAGTGAAGGGGAGGGGGAAGTGAAGGGGAGGGAAGTGAAGGGGAGGGGGAAGTGAAGGGGAGGGGGAAGTGAAGGGGAGGGGACGCCGAGGGGTGGGAGCAGGTGCCCGCCCCCAGCGCCGGGCTAGCGAGGCCGAGTTCCCGGCCCCCCGGGAGGCCGGAGCGCTTGGGGCCAGCAGGGAATTGGGGAGGGGGGGCGGCGTGGGGGACCTAACTGGAAGTGGAGGGCGTACCAGCGTACCCCGGCACCTGCCCACCCCGAGACAGGGCTTCCTCCCCGCTTCTGTCCCTGGAGAGACCCAGTCTGTGTGACCTCGAGCACGTGAGCCCCTGACTCGGTGCAAACACTTGGATGCAAATAAGTGCTCGCAGCAGGGCGCCTTCCTCGTGGTGATGTTAATGCGGCAGGCCTGGAGATGGCAGGCCCTGGAGCCAGGAGGACCCCAGGTGCCTGCAGCTTCTCCGGGCAGAGACTTATCTGGGGACAAGGCTAGAAAAACAGGCCCCTTCCCTTCCAAGTCTACCGTAACTACGTTGTCAGGTCTATCCGCGTTCACCCCAAAACCGGGCTGAATAAAACCTATTTCCCCACACCTGGAGGCCTTGCCTCTAGACAGGCTTGCAGTGCAGCCCGGCTGGGAGAAGAGACCATTAGAGGAGGGGGGCTTCCTTTGCCCTTCCGGGAACAGGGCCCTACAGTTCATCATCACCACAGCCCCTCAAAAAAGAGATCGTGCCAATCAGCTTACTGTTGATGGACTGTTAACTGGTTATGTACCTAAAGCTTTTAAAGTTATTATTTTCCCATGCGAATTCTCTAGACAACCCCTGTTTTCTCAGCCTTCATACCCTCACAGAAACAAAGAACCAAGTAGAGTTGAATCTGAGCTGGCTCTCCCCCAAAATGAGCACAAACAACTTTCTTTAGAGAAGCCAATCCATTCCAAGCTACTCCCAGACGTTGTTGTAAAATACACATGAAGATGATCCCTTACTGTCCTAGGTTGTTTGGAGTTTCTGGTGCTTTACAGCTGTGTGTTGTTGACTCTGGCTTTGGGGTCTGTGCAGGGATGGGAAGTGTCCCCAGAAAAGAAGATTGTGTTTTGTTTGTCTGGTGATGGCATTTGTGACGGTCCATTATCACAAATTACTGAGGTGAAAAAAATAATTTTCTAGATAGCTGAGGGAAAGTAAAAAATAAAATAAAAAATAAAGTACCTTTGCCTGAATTACCTTGATTGTGTGACCCAAGTTTCTTTAAGTATAAAATGGGGGCACACTAATTCCACTTCACAGATGGGGTAAGGATCAGTTGTGATATCTTAAAATGCTTTGTAAACCATTCAGCACAGAGCACTGTGCAAGTACAGGTGTCTGTTGCTTTTTTTTAACTCAAGAAAGTTTCAGATTCCCAAAGGTTTTATGCCATGAGTCAAATTGTGATCCTGCATCAGCTCTTTTGACCTAGAGAAAAAAGCAGAAGTGTTTTGTTATGCACACTGCATAACTGTTATTTCTCATAACCCTTTTACTGGAGATCCCACGGAAAACATATTGTGACGTATCTGACATCACCCTCTCCGTTTCTGAGCTGACACCTAAATAGGTTGAATAATTTAGCTGGAGTCAAACCATAAACTGGCAGCAGTATTGGGATAATTCAGCCCTTTCCTTTGGCCTAGAAATCTCTTAACCAGGAAGAATTTCTCCAAGTGAAAAGGCCACCTGGAAACCATAAACTGCAAAGGAATAATAGATCACAAGCTCTACTAAGGGGTTTTCCCATTATTTTTGAATAAATGAGCAATTTCTCCCCTTCAAAATATTTCTGTTTCTGTTAGTTCCTTGTCTCATTTCCACAATTTTGTGCACCTTACCAGGTACTAACCACGATAAATGGGCAAAAAGTGCCAAGAAAACTCCCTCCATCCGTACCTACCTCCTCCCCTTAGGAACAGCCTTATCCAGGAGCCCCAACCCCACGCCCTCCATGAAAGGGCTCAGAGTTTGGGGGGAAGGGGCTGAGTAGTAGGAGGTAATGATGGTGGCAGAACCCAGGCTCTTCCTTCCTCTAGATTCTGTGTAGTTTTTTTTTTTTTTTTTTTTAATTTATTTATTTTGGGCTGCGTTGGGTCTTTGTTGTTGTGTGTGGGCTTTCTCTAGTTGCGGCGAGCAGGGGCTCCTCTTCGTTGTGGTGCGCAGGACTCTCATTGCGGTGGCTTCTCCTGTTGCAGACCACGGGCTCTATAGCACAGGCTCAGTAGTTGTGACTCACAGGCTCTAGAGCGCAGGTTCAGTAGTTGTGGCGCATGGGCTTAGTTGCTCTGCGGTATGTGAGATCTTCCCAGACCAGGGCTCAAACCCGTGTCCCTTGCATTGGCAGGCGGATTCTTTTATTTTTTTTAATAAATTTGTTTATTTATTTATTTTTAGCTGCATTGGGTCTTCATTGCTGTGCGTGGTCTTTCTCTAGTGGAGGCGAGCAGGGGCTACTCTTCGTTATGGCGCACGGGCTTCTTGTTTTGGTGGCTTCTCTCGTTGCAGAGCACGGGATCTAGGCGTGTGGGCTTCAGTAGTTGTGGCATGCAGGCTCAGTAGTTGTGGCTCACGGGCTCTAGAGCACAGGCTCAGTAGTTGTGGCACATGGGCTTAGTTGCTCCACGGCATGTGGGACCTTCCCAGACCAGGGCTCGAACCTGGGTCCCCTGCACTGGCAGGTGGGTTCTTAACCACTGTGCAACCAGGGAAGCCCAGATTCTGTGTGTTTAACCTCTTTCATCTCCAGATCCTGGGCCAGTGTCTTCTACATAATAGGTGCTCAATATCTGAAAGAATAAGTGCCCGTGAATGATGGGCTCAACATAGAGAGCCAGGTGCAGAGTTGAATGCAGGGACTTTGTCTAGGAAACTTTTATACCTCCTAATATCAAAGAGGTATGCACATAAGAGAGTTCAGCAAATGTCTCTAGATTGGAAAAAAAAAACATACAAAGAAGGGTGGAAAAGCCTGTGCCTTCAAAGAAAGCAAAGGCACTTCTACCTCCTCAGGCTGCATGGCTCAGATCACAAACTTGTCATCAATCAACCCAAACTTCACTCCTAGTTTGACTGTTCAGCTTTAACACCTTGAGCAAGTTGCTTAACCCCTCAGGTCCTCAAGTTCTACAAATCATGACTAGTGATTGACACCTATGGCGAATGCTTGTGCTAAAAAGTGAAATATACAATGTGTTGGGCACATGTTAAGCTTCATACTTACATGTCACTTCTCTCTATTCCAGCCATCCTCATTACTAAGAAAGAGGGGTCTCTCAGATCATGCCAGAAACCCCAGGGAAAATCCAGCCTCCGCAAGGGTAAAATTTCCTGGCATGGCCGTTGTGATTAAAGAACCACGATAAGGGATTGCCAAAAGGCCCAGAATCTTCCCTGTGCAGTCCCCAGCATCCCACAGCTTAGCTGAAAAAAAGTGGATGCTGCAAGAAAGCTATAGATAAGACAGAGGGTTGGTTTTTGTCTCAACATCAGGATGGAATTTTTATACATGCAAAAAAAATAAGGGCTGGCCAGAGTCTGGGAACTTTCTGATATTGAACTCAAGAAAGCAGCCTGGGGGTCTAGAATGTAATTAATCTGAAACCAGATGCCAGTCTTTAGATAAGTACCATATCTTGTCCTTTGTGTTTTCTTTGATTTCTCTCTCTCTCTCTTTCCCTTTTCTTTCATTAACTTATGTGTTATTTAGTAAAAATTCTTTTGGAAAAAGGCCAGTCTCTCTCAGCTATTCCAAGGTGGTCCTGGGTTTTACAAGCAGATGACTGTATTCCAGAAGAAAGCAAGAATCAAAGCAATGGAGCCCCTAAGGGAAAGGAAACCAGAGTTGGAGTTTCCTAGCTTCTTTAGCCATGGAGCTTCTCCTTCCATTGATCCCCTGTGCTAAAAACATGAAACCCAAGACCAGTCCCAGATCTTAATTTTTGGAAGTGTGTGTTTTAGGATTCCATGGTTCTCTCATGCCCTCAAAGAGGAGTTAGCTCAGCCATTTGGTTGCATCCACAAGGAGGTTCCTTCTCTAGTGACAACATTGCCTCCAGATACTGGAAAAGGGACTGGAAATCACAACGTAGACAGGGATGAGCCCCTGGAAGGGTAACCTAATTGACCTAAGTGCTCTTATTTTTCTTAATCTATAAAGTGCTGGAGTGCTGTGGATTTGAATTGGCGATGATGACAGCACAGGGTGTGGGGTCAGGAAATAGAATCCTAAAAGGCAATGGGAAGTGTTGAAGGGATACAACAGGGAGTGTTTGTAGGAATGACTCAGATAGCAGCAAAGAAAGTGGATTGGAGAGGCTGGAGAGTCGAGTCGAGGCTGTGAGATCAGTCGGCAGGTTGGTGCAAAGGGATGATAACCTAGAGTAGAGGCAGTGGGATATGCGAGATGTAGATGGGTTTGAGAGAGACTTAGGGGGTGGGAGCTACAGAATCTGGTGCCTTTGGGGAGGTTTGGAGTAAAAGGGTAACATGTGGTTATCAGCAAGTGGGTGGAGAGAGATGTGATTCAGTGAGTAGAAAGTACAGTAGGGGAGGCAAGTTGTGGGGAAGAGGGATGGTTGACAGGTTCAGTTTTAGACAAGCTGTGCGCAAGGTGCACTTTGAGCGACTTCCCTGGCGGTTCAGTGGTTAAGACTCCACACTTCCAATGTGCTTCCAATGCAGGGGGCACGGGTTTGATCCCTGGTCCGGGAACTAAGAACCCACATGCCGTGCGGCACAGCCAACAAAAAAGAGGTGCCGGGCTTCCCTGGTGGCGCAGTGGTTGAGAGTCCGCCTGCCGATGCAGGGGACGCGGGTTCGTGCCCTGGTCCGGGAGGATCCCACATGCCGCGGCTGGGCCCGTGAG